ATTACTCGACGCAAAAGTTACCACACCTTTCAAATTCACTACTATGAAAGCATAACATACAAGAAATCATTCACAGACTTAATATCTTCACATATCTTATCATATTTATCTATCCTACATTTCTACAGTGAATCCTAATTTTGGCAATCCGTCATCTTCTTCATCTGATTCTAATGATGTTCATGTGTTAATTATGAATGATCTTCGTCAAAAACTAGTAGTGATAACTAGTGTTTTCGCTAAAAACAACATCATTTAACATCTTCCCAATTAACAAAACCAGGAAGCCTCCTGTGGAGGTTCTGTTTCTGGGCATATTTATATATGTCGTGGTCGAGAGGATGTTGATCGTAGGTTATAACCAGACCATGTTTCGCAGAAGATACAGAATGTCTCGTTCGTTGTTCCTTCGAATTGACGATGCAGTCAAAGATCATGATCATTATTTTCAACAGCGAGTGGATCGAGCTGGTAGACTTGGATTATCTCCAATACAAAAATAATTGTTGTCTTTTGTATGTTGGCACACGGCGTTCCAACAAAACTACAGACGATATGTCAAAATTGTTGAGTCGACTGCAATTGAAAGTATGCAAAAGTTCTGTCAAGTGATAGTTCAGGTATTTGGACAGCGATATCTACGGAGGCCCACATCTGAAGATATTTTCGGCCTTCTATATATTAGTCAGCAACGTGGTTTTTTGGAAATATTGGGGAGTTTAGACTGCATGCGTTCGAGGTGGAAAAATTGCAATGTGGGTTGGCCAATATGTTGGTCGTATGAAAGCCTACAATCATTTTTGAAGCTGTAGCAGATTATGATCTATGGATGTGGTATGCTTATTTTGGTTTGTCGGACTCAAAAAATGATATCAACGTTCTAGAATCATATCATCTTTTCTCGGATCTAACCTAAGGTATTGCTCCTCCAGCTCATTATATAACTGAAAGAAAATAATACAACATGGGCTATTATTTAGCTGATAGCATATATCCAAAATGGTCTACCATTTTGTAAACAATTCATGAGCCACGTGGTCTGAAGAAAAAATATTTTGCTATGAAACAAGAGCATGCAAAAAAAAACATTGAACGTGCATTTGGAGTTCTTCAATCACGTTTTGACATTGTAGCATGACCAATACGCTATTGGCAAAAAGAAGTGCTACATATTATCATAACCACATGTATAATTTTCATAACATGATTGTCGAGGATGAACATGGCCTAAGTGCACTAATCGAAACAGAAATGGTAACGCCACCGGCGGAGGTCGAAATGGCAGTAGATGAAAGTACTCGATTTCAAGAATTCATATCTCGATACAGAAAAAAAAAATAGAAATAGAGATGATCACATTGCATTTTGGATTGCACTAATTGATCATTTGTGAGAGCAATTCACCAATTTCGAGATTTGAAAGACTATCTATTTTTACAATATTGTTGTAATTTTTAATTTTTCATCTTGTACATTGTAGTTTTTAATTTTATTTGTGTATTGTTATTTTTAATTTCTCATCTCGCGTTGTAATTTTTAATTTTATCTTGTGTGTTGTAATTTTTAAAATTTACTTTTTAATGAATATTTATTTCTTCGATTTTATTATGAATATGATTATAACTTTATAATTAATTTTATTACATAATGTCTAAATTGAATTTAAAATAATAGTGCTTTAACTAGTACAACGCCCGTGTATTACACGGGTGCTTGCTAATTTTTTCCTTAAAATTTAAAATTAATGGGAAACAGTAGTTGAAAATTTAAATACCTTTTATAAAAATATATACTATTATATATTTAGTATGACACTTTTTATTTGTGCGACTTACTTGTGTTATATTATAATAATTTTTTAACTTACAACATATAACTACATTAAACATAAATATATGAATTGAGAAATAATTTTATTTTTCTAATGAATTTTAATAATATTTATTATTTTTTATTATTATAAAGATAAATATAATTTATTTATTTCATATATACAATATGGATGTCAAATCGAAGATAATCAAAAGATGATTTATTTGATATATTATATATGCAAAACTGATAAGAAATACAAAAGTTATCAACTTTTGAAATACATTTACAATTCAATAGCTAATTGATGGAAACAAATTAAAAGTCAGGGATATATTAGTCACTCAGTGCCTCACTATGTAAAATTGTAGAGAATTAAAGGGTTATATTAGTAAAAGTTATATTAAAATGCCTAAGTTAGCTAAATAATATTTATGGAATGTCCGAACCTAGATTATTAATTATTAATATCAATATTATTTGTCCAAACCTAATTACGAAGCATGATTCTTCGCCAAGTAAGATTTCGAAGCACCAGAAGCAGCCACGTAGGTTCAACGCATTCTGGAATTATATATAGGGGCGATTTGTAAAGTCGTAAAATATGTGGGCAATATTGAAATGTTGTAAAAGTTGATGTAAAAGAGAACATTCCGAGAATTTGAGAATGAGTTTTTCGATTGAAGATGAATTAGTGTTTGATGTGACAATTACTGTATCTGAAAATGCGTTTTTCGATTGGAGATATGCGCACGAATCACGGATTTTTAAATGTAATTTATTGTTTTGCCGCAACCTAATTAGTGGTGAAAAGCAAAAATTTCATGATTGAATTGTAAAGTTTCAAAATATGGTGATATTATTAGCTATTAAAAAAAAAAAAAAAAAAAAAAAAAAAAAAAAAAAAAAAAAAAAAGAGAGAAATTTGAGGTGTCGTGAGAGATCATTTTCATTTTTCAACACCGGCCAGGGAAAATCAGCTGAAGCCGTAGCCGTATATGTGAACACTTACTTATTGAACCCCTTTCAACACAACACCACTTTCACTAGTAATAGTCATTCCACCATTTTCATTCCTCGTACAGTGTTGACCCCATTTTAATTAATTGGCCACTAAAATTGATGTGAGATTCTCTGACATTGAAATTCAGTTTTATCCATAATAAAATATAGATATAATTGAATATTAATGCACCATCTTTGATATTTCTGTAATTTAATCACTGTCTCTGTAATTTAACAATTTAATCCACCACATTTACTTTATTTGTAAATCGAATTATGATTGACGACTCTGGTTAAAGAAATATAAACGGAAATAAATTTTTTTAAACGAAGCCGTCAATTGTGATTCGATTTGCGAATATGGTAAATGTGGTGTATTAAATTGATAAATTACAAATGTGGTGCTTAAATTGCAAAAACATGAAAAAGGGCGTATTAATATGCAGTTTTACCTAGAATATATTCTATATTTCTTTTGATATTTCATCTTCTATCACAACATCAATACATGTTGAAATGTTGCACATTCAACAGATTAATAATTGTAAAGGTCAACCATCATATAAAGTTCATTTGGAAACTCTCTCGGATGAACTTTTGGATGCAAATGTTTATTTGGACATTTATTCATGTTTTGTGCTAAATTGCGGAAGTAAATGATGAATACTTGTGAAGGAATAATTTTGAATGAGTCCATTTTTCAAATAACCGGAAAGTAGACGTGACCAATTGCCGGGCCGGGCCGGTCGACGGGCCTCAATCTCTTGGCCTGTGACCGGCCGCTCATTTTATGAGCCGGTTTATAGAACTAGCCCGAACCGCCGGTTCACCGACCCGACGGTTCACGGGCCAGGACGACTTTTTTTTTTTAAAAAAAAATGACTTGTGGCCCGTCAACCGACTAGCAGCCCGACCCAACCCGGACCAGCGGGACCAAAAATAAAAAAATCTGAATCAGGACCAAACCGCGAATCTAAGGGTCCGGTTTAACAAACCGGCCCTTATGAGGCCGGTTCCGACCGGGTTGGGTTGGTTAGTGGGCCGGTTCGGCCCGTGACCATGTCTACCGGGTAGACATCATTTGTATTGTAATGCGATGGGAGGCTATTTTATGATTCGTACCAACGGAAAAGATTTGGAGATCTAAGGCATATACTTTTATTGACCGCCTCATAATCTATATACTGACTGACCAAAGTGAAACGTTTTTTATATTTATTTATTTATTTATACTTTTTGCGTTCCAATTCATGGGACAAATGAGGGGTTGTTGAATCTAGTCAACCTTCAAATATTTTACCAGTGTTGGTGTTATTTATTAATTAAATAATCCATACAAAAAAAATCAGGTCAGATCCGTACAATAGCCCACCGAGGTTTTAGGCGGACAAACTGTACGTATTTCACCATCACACAGTCTACCTGCTAATAGAGGTGGCCAGGACACACCCGGACCCGCAACCCGGCCCAGAACCGGCTCGGACTTGGCCTGGAATCAACCCATATGTACGGGTTCTTAAACCAAACCCGTGATAATACCAAGCCGATTCTGGGTCTTGATTTTTTTTATAACCCACCAATTTTGGGTCGGTTCTAGATCATTTCCAGGTTGACATTGGTTTTTTTGTTATTTTTTGTAAAAAAAAAAAAATGACGGTTCAATGAAATGCCGGTGCAATAAATTTTGCGACCTGGCAGGCTGGACCGGGTCGTGAACCGGCCTGGCAGTTCGGCATGAGAGCCAGAAAAAACAGTTAATAACAACTAGCATTGACACATGTAAAGTACATAGCTCGAAAAGCCCATGCTTAGGTAAAGAAAAAATTGGACGGTAACTTCATAAATGAAAAAAAATAATAATAATAATCATTGAAAAAGTCTACATCTAATCTAGTCTATTTTCTATATATATCATAATACAGTTGACAACAGAGGAAAAAGTACACCAAAGTTGGACAAAGACATTAAACTGC